AGAATGACATTCTCCAGGGCCATCCATGTTGCTACAAATAGCATAACTTTGTCACTTTTTATGTCTGTGGAGTATTCTATTGTATAAAGATACCACAGCTTCTTTATCTAGTCATCAACATTTATGTTGCTTCCATGTCTTAGCTATTGTGTATAGCGTTGCTATGAAAATTGGAGCTCATGTATCTTTTCGAATAAGAGTTCCCTCTGGATATATACCCAGAATTGGGATTGCTGGATTATATGGTAAGTCTACTTTTAGTTTTTTGAGGACTCTCACTATGTTCTCCATAGTGGCTACACCAAACTACATTCCCACCAGCAGTGTAGGAGGGTTCCCTTTTTTCCACACCTTCTCCAGCGTTTACTGTTTGTGAACTTTCGAATGATGGCCGTTGTGACAGGTGTGAGGTAATACCTCATTGTAGTTTCCATTTGCATTTCTCTGATAATTAGTGATATTGAGCATTTTTTCATGGGCCTCTTGACCCTAATGGCCTCTCCTGTATTGTTTAATAATTCAAACAAAATCTTCAAAGAAAGGGTCTCTCCATTGAGGAGAGACATGATCAGACACCTAATCTTTAAATAAAACTTTCAAAGTATCAATTTGCACTGGGTACAAAGCAATACAGTAGGCAATTTCATGATTCCCTAAGGTTCTTGTTGGTAAAAGACACAATAAACATATCAAGAAATGAATAAACTTGACAAACACTGTATAGACTAATACTTTATATGGGTACTCAAGGACGTCCTCCAAGAAAGGGACAAGTGAGCTGAAATGTGATTGGCAAGATTTCATTTACATCTCCCTCTGAAGATGAAGCCAGAAGTGTCCTGCACAGAAGGAGTAGCAAAGGCAGGAAACATCTGACTTCCAGGAAGGGGAGGGTACACAGGGCCAGATGTCTGGAAGGACAGGGGAGGGAGAAGTAGCAGCAAGGCCACAGGAGTCGACCCTTCCTAAAAACTCCAGTGGACTCCAGACACCATACCCTGAATGTGCCTACATTCCAGCCAATTCCAGTTTTGACCACACCAGCCACACCAGTCTCGGAGAAGACAACACACAAAGCCTTGAGATGGAAAAGATCAAACAAAACCCCTGAGAATTACTTCCACCATGAAATTATCTTAAAATAGCTGGAACACTATGGAGAAGTGTTTAGCGGAAGAAGGGTTTTATAAAAACCAATAAAAGGACAAACACTAATGTATGAGCCATTTTAGGCCAATCCTCACAGTATATAGGAGTTGGGATTTCTGTGTGAGTCTTTTCTGCAGAAGGCCACAGCTTACAGAGGGGCTGAGATCCTTAAATAGCCAATTCGGACCCAATAAGGCAGTTCTGGGCTCACATTCACACACCTCCACAAGCAAGAGGGCCCATGTAGGGCTGAGTCAGCCAACACTGAACACAGTCCATGGCGAGATCCACTCTTCTCCCTGCGACCAGGGCAGACACTGGGAGCAGGTCCCTGTCCTCTCTCCCCTGAGCCCAGATGGAACTGAAGGTTCACTAACAAGACCAGAACTGGTACATGGCATAGAATCTATTTGGCACCTCACATCTAACCCATGTCCCGCCCTCCCCACCCAAGGCCATAGATGAGCAGAGGAGGCCCACGTGTGATAGGCCAGTTCACGGACAGCCAGACACAGGGCTGCACGTGGATGCCACTTCTCCTCACTCTTTATTCACAAGTAAACATTTAGCAATAAATAATGTAAACAATCCCACGCCTATAAAATTATCAGTTGGAAATGGTGGGCACTTTAGAAGCGACAAGGCACCCAAAAGTGGCCAAACTGCCTTTGCCAGTGCTCCAGCAGTGGACTTCTTTCCTCCTTTCCTTTCGCATTTCAAATAGTTTTTAAGTGCCAGCTCACAACCAGATAACCCATGTAAACAACCCAGACAGTTGTAAAAAAGTTTTCCTGTACCTGTATAAATATATATAAAAACATTCATATAAAGTATAAAGTTAGAAAGACAAACAGTATTACAAATTACCCATCATTAAATGCACACATTCCAACATACATGCATGCTACAAAATAACAAATACAAATAAAAAGTGCAAGTCCAGGAGGCACTTTAAAAAGTGCCCTGGATGGAAAGAGTGAGGTTCTCAAACTGAGGACACAGCAGAGCCTGCTTCACCTTTTTTATAGACATACTTTCCCGAGCCCACCAGGTAGTCCTGAATTGTCTCCTTTGCACATCTTGCCCCTAGCGTTTCCAAGGCGTCCAGCAGGGTGTTGATGGAGGCTTCCTTCCCCTTGCTGCTGAGCCAGGCCTCCAGCATTTCATACAAGGCATCCTGCGGGGCCCGGGCTTTGTCTCTGGCCATAAGGATCTCATTTTGTGTCAGGCCCATCTGCCTCATGAGCGCATTCCAGGAATCATAGGGCACGACGGTTGCAAAGTAATCGAAGAACATCCTCAGGCCTGGGTTGGGGGAAAGTCACAGAGGCAGTCAGGTGAGCTGGGACGGGCTTCAGAAAGGGCAGAGGACCCTCCAGGAGGCCTAGACCCCAGGCTGGGACCCCAGGAGCTCCCCCTGCTGGTGAACCTGCTGCTCTGCGTCCCTGACCTGCTTCCCATCAGCAGAGAATCAGGCCACACTGCAGGGGCCTCACCTGTACCCAAGGCACTGCAGGGAGTCAAGGTCACCAGAGAATCCTGCCCTAAGGGAGGGACGAGGGCCCTGCTGGGAAGGGGGACGGATGTCATGGAGGGAGAAGGCAGGATGTGTAGGAGACAGAGGGTGGCACAGACCAGACTGTGGTGCAACAGACCTCAGAGGAGGGCACCTGCCCTTCTCATGAGAGTAAGGGCTCCTGGCTGCCGCATCTGCTCTGTGGACAGAGCAAGGGCCTGGCGGTGGGAAGGTCTCTGGCCTTGTACCCAGCTCAGCCTCACTGACTGACGCTGTGGCAGAGCTACATGGGGACGAACAGACTCTGAGCAAGAATTTAACTGTAAGATGGAGCCAGCACTACCCATGTCATAGGAATGTACTGGGGATTCAATGTGATGTGGGTGAAATGCAGTGCACACCACTGTCCATTGGTACATAAGGTGGGCACTGAATACAAGTTTATATTCTCTAACAGCTGCACTGAAAAAAGTAACAAAAAGTTCTAATTTTCATAAAATATTAACTCAATATATTCTAAAATTTTTCATTTCAATATGTATGTAATCAGTATACAAAAAATTGTTAGTGAGTCCTATTATATTCCTTTTTTTCTACCAATTCTTTGAAACACAGTATCTAGTTATACCACAGCTCATCGACTTTGGCCTAGCCACAGGTCAGGTGCTCCACAGTCCCCTGGGGCCAGTGGGTGCCCTGATGGGCAGCACAGTCCCTTAGGTGCCTCATTGTGGGTGAACCTGGCCCCGAGCAGCAAGGGAGGAGGAGGGAAGGACTGGGAAGTGTTAGGGGACACTGGTAGGGGACAGAGGGGTGCAGAGGAGGGGAGAGATGGATTTAGAGTTCTGATGGTCCAGGAACAAGCCACCCCCTGCTGTGAGTTGCCCTAACCGCTATGGAGACGGCAGGTAGGACACAGTCCCTTCTCCCTCCATTCCTGCTCCACTGCCCTGGAGAAAACACTCTCCTTCAATGGAGTCCACAGCATTTGCTGGAACCAGCATCATTCTGATCTGAGACCCTTCAGCTCCTGCTGGTTCCTGTGAAATGTAGTGGGAAATAGCCTTGGTCTTAGTCAGAGTTCCTGGATTTCAGAGAACTAGCCTAGCAACCAGCCCACTGTGTGACCTGGGCAGTCACCTCCCTCCTGGGTCTCCATGGATACGGAGAGGAACCTCCCACCCTGAGGAGTTCACAGGCTCCTGTGCTCATGGAGGGAAATTTTCCCTGCAGTAATGCTCACTTCTTATCCAACTGTATACAGCAGAGCAGCCATCACCCAGTCAAGACACAGAACATTCCCACCCTCCACAGTCCCTTCTGCCCCTTCTAGTCCTTTCCCACCCACCACATCAGAAGACAGACACTCCCTCCAAGCTCTATGTGACTCAAATGAAGAATATATATGAGGACACTTTGGAATATAGGAGTAAAGCTTATTCCACAAGTGCAAAGGTGCTTTGATCAGTAAAAATTCACCATACCAATAGTCTAACTAGGGGCATGAAATCATTACATTTTTTCCATGGACACTGAAAAACCATTTGATAAATTCAAATGCCAATTCTGTGTTTTAAAAAATACCTCAGAATAGGAGGCTATACCCATATGATAAGATTTCCCTTATGAAAAAGAGCCAGCATCATCCTCAGTGGTGACGCTGGAGGCCTCTCTGACAAAGTCCAATCAAGACCAAAATGCCTGCCTGCTCTAGGCGTCCCCAAACAGCAGCACAGTCCATCAGCAGTACTTACATGTGAATGTGTGCGTAGATAAATGTTAAAAATTGTAGCAGATAATAAATTACACAGAGAATTACAAGAGTTGGATAAAGTCATAAGGTTCAGAGCACTTGTAATACAAAGACACAGCCCAACAAGATGTGGGAGAAATTTACCAAAGGAAAGCATACATCTAGTTGAGGTATTATAAAACCCTTGACTTGAAATGCTATCTCTCTTCATTAGGGCAACACAGAATATCGAAAAGATCTCAGTTCTTCCTAGATTAATTTATAAATTTGAGGTAATACTGTAAAACTGCAATAAATTTTTGGGGGGGGAAGAGGAAATCTTAGAAAATAATATAAAATTTATCTGGGTTAAAATAATAAAATTTTAAAAAGTAGAGAAGAGGAATTTTCTCTATCAGAGAGTAAAACAAATTTTCATAGTAGACTATTACACAGAATATCATTTTAGTGGAAAGAAAATATACAGGGATACATATGCACATGTCAGTATACATATAGAGACAGTGTCGGCATACACCTAAAGATATAGGCAAAGAACCACAAGAAATTCTCTCTACTAGTCACCATAAATCAAAAGAGCCAGGGAGCTGGGGAAAGACAGCAGGAGGATTTCACTACTCACTGAGAACCTTACTGTACTACGTAAATTTTCTTACTGTGCATATGTAGTAACCACTTTGAAACAATGTCAAGGTGATTCAGTTGGATGGGGAGATTATTGACCATTTTTGATTGTTGGCTTCCTGTTTTATAACTTGTCTTTATTACTGTTTTCTTATGAGGTGTTGAGACAAGAAAAGAACAGAAAAGAAAAACAGGTGAAAAGAGATCACTGTCATATAAGCATTTGACTGGTAAGCTGAGGAAAATGGGAGAGTCGGCAGCTAAACGGGGTATTGGGACAAGATGATGACTCAACACTTCAGGGAGCTCCTTGGGTCCTATCATGTCACTAAATGCATGATTTAGCTTCTAAGCTCTATGGTACAAATCACATCATTAAAAAAGCCTACCTAGGAAATTAGAGAATTTTATCTTGTCTTTGATTCGAAGAAGGACTTTGAAAGCTCTGAGCAATGAAAAAAATTGCTTTATCAATAGATTTAATTAATTAATATATAACATTCTACACATTGAAATATTAGATCAAATGAAAAAAACACATATGCATGTACTGATTGGCATAAGAGCATGTCTTCTTAGAAAGCCTCTAACAAGAAGACAACAATCATTTGAAAATTGTCAAAACAGAAAGATACAAGTTTATCTCAGTTTTTTCCTAGTTACCAAAAAAGAAATATGTCATATCAAAACTACTGAAATGATATGATGCAAAACTGTAAATGTCTGTGTGTGTGAAAATACTTTTATACACTGACAAAGACATTTTACTTATCCTAGGAAGCCACCCCCAAAACACTGAGACAACCACTAATTTTCAAATAGATTCAACTTAATGATATTGAAATAAGTGAAATTCCTAACAGCATGAGGAATGACTTAAATTTATGGAACCACCACACAGGAAAATATGTTGCTCGAATTCTATCATTCAACAAGGGAGTGACCACTGTTTGGCTGACCTATGGTAGACACCAGGGATGTGGTGAGAACAAGGCAGATAATAAGTAGGGTAACGTTGCATAGAGCTGACAGTCTGCCACAGCAGGGGTGGGCTCCCTTCCCCCTTCAGGACGCTGATTTCTTTCCCTCCATCA